ATTTTAGTTAGTTGGTTATGTATTTTTTAAATAAAAAAAAAATTTTTGAATTTACTTACTTGTAGCTGGAGTTAGAGACAGTCAGATACTTATGACCGCTATTATAAGATTAGTTTTTAACACACACAAGTTTGTCTCAATTTTGTTCTTAGTAAGCAGTTCTTTCTGTTTTGATTCTTTGATACTCTAAAAACTACTTACACCTTCGTATGCATTATTAAACTAGCACAAAAGTCTTATATTAGTATTAATATAATTATTCTTTTAATATTAGAATCATGTGCGCACATTCATCAACATATTCTAAATAAATCATCAACTATATATGACCTGCATACAATTGACAATGTACATGAATGCTATATTTTTTCTTTATAAATAATAACTAAGATCTACTCCTATATGTCTAAGGAATTAATATATCCAATTAAACTTGTGCTACATGGCTATAAGTACTCATTTAATCTGATTATAAAAATATCATTCTACGAAATTATCATTTGGGATTATAAATCTGAAAAATAATAGTAATAATAACTAATCTTCAAGGAAATATTAACGAGTTATTTTTCTGAGTCTGATTGTAATTCTTTTTTATTACTATAATTGTCTGATAAATTATTTCTCTTAATTTATCTTTTGAATACTACGCATCATCTTCTATTAGTTGAAAAATAACAGAAAATGCGGTAATATGATCCAAGGGTGAATCAAATAAAAAATTATAAATATTTTCATATAATGCAGAAGATATAATGATGAAAAATATAGTGTTAGAATTTCGCTAAAAAAATAATAAGTAACAAATAACTTGAATTTCATACACTTGTCCTTTTAAATCTCTGGTGACTTCTCCATTCATGTCTTCTTTAACTCACATTTATGTTGGGAAAAAGAGATAAGAGAATTATACAAGATACTTTACGCTAAAATTTTGTGTTTGAGAATAAAAGCATATGGAATGTGTATTAAAGATCTCATTTTTAGAATGGTATTAGAGACAATGCATATATAAACTTTTTTCACTCACCCGACCATTTATTACTAAGATCCAGCAATGTTATATAAATATATTTTGCTCAGAATTGGTAGTGTCAGAGAGCCTGTTCCTCTAGAGCAAAAATATATATCAATAAATGTCTGCTTCTTCAAAAAATAAATTTTTTTTTCAGGATAAAAAAACCAATTCACCACATAGATCAATAGATCAAAGGAGCGTTATACAAGTAATTATACAGAGTTATAAATAATTTGTAATATATTACCTATTACATTATATATACTTTAACAAGAATTGAAAACGTGCTAATTTATATCATATATGCCTTCATGTATTAATCTTAAGACACTTCACATAGCTAGACAATATATTATTTTATTAATACAATATTCAGGATCTGGGTTAAGGTCTGATCTAAAAAATTCAGTATACAAATTCACAATTATCATCTAAGTCTATAAAATTTATGGTAATATCCTTCCTGTAAATATAATATATGTATTTTAATAGCGAATTACATATAAGTTTCATTTCTGATGATTTAATATTATATACCTATATTCAGAAATTCTGATAAAGTATGTATAATTATACTTTTTATGAATACTATAATATCTGGAATTTTGTAGTCATTTTAACATATCAAGCCAATATATATCTCTAACAACTATATAGCCTTGCTGATATAATAATTTTTTAACAAGTATAAATGTTGCAAAGAATAATTGTTACCATAATTGGGCTCTCTTCTCATACATCCAATTATTTTTACTGGATAATAACGTTTCTCATCTTTATAACAAATATATCCTAGTTGTTCTGATTCATTTTTTATACCTAAAAACTTCATATTATTAAGAGTATCATCATTTCTCATCATCTTCTAAACTCGTTTTACCAAAGATTCAGGTCTTTTCTTATAATTCCTATAAACTTACTAGATAACTATCGCATAGAAATTCTCAAACTAATAGTTATATTGTCTCGCAATCAAGAATTTTCAAGATCGCTTCATTGATCTTCCTAAAATAATACTTTGTTAAAATAGTTATATATTGAAAGATCTAACTCAAAATAGGCAGATCACATTTTTTATTCTGCAGGTAATACATTTTACCAGGTGATTATGCATGTAGATTATATAATGCAAAAAATAAAGAATGTTATATTGCACTTTTAACTAAATGATATTAATCTTCGATTGAAAGTAATAGTTTATAATTAATATATTTCTCAAAGTCAGTTAGTTAAACGAATGTGATGTTTATCCCATCTCTCAATTTTAATATAGGCTGATTAAGATGGTTTACAGATGATAGAGTCCCAAAAGGATCTAGTAAGTTATTTTCTTTTACATACTGAGATAAGATAAATATTTCACTTGTAGTTCCTTTGGAATTCAATAATTGATAAGAAGTCAGTGAAATCACTTTTTGCTTGGTAGATAAAATACAAACTGGCTCAAAATTTGAAACACTTAGCATAGTATTTTTACTATAGTTGCTTTAGCTGAAAAATAAGCTTTATAGCCAGTTAAATGATCATCATAATTATATGATACCAATGCTATTTTATCCTTTTCTGAATGTGAAGTAGATTGGGATGAAAGCTTTAGCTGAAGACACTTTATTTCAGCCTCTTCTTATAATATATACTATTTATACTGCCAGATCTGAAATTTCCTTCTATCAATAGCTTGAAGAATTTTTTTTCTTTTTACATGTTTGATTGAATTAGCTTTGCTAATAATACATCTTTTCAAGTAGCCATCTTGATAGAGAAATTCACCTATAAGTCTTTTAGGAATGAATACTAGGGAATTATACATAATACAATATATATAATTTGTTAGATTTCCACTAGGATGGAATCTTTTACCATCTTCATAAAACTTTGTATACATACGAATATATCCATTCTTAAAAAATATTTTTGGGTTTTCTTCAAGTATTTTTCTAAATGAATCACGAATACGAGAGTATCACATTTCTGGTATTTTATTATCATATTTATATTGTAAAAGGTGTATTTCTTTTATTATCTCATTATATCTATTATCACGATTAGGTGAACAAAGCTTATAGTAGGCATTATTATCTAAATCCATCTTTATAAATGTTTAAGTGATAAAATGGTGTTTTTAGTGATTTATATTGTTTATAGTGATTTATAGTGATTTATATTAGTTTGTAACAAGTATATTATAATAAATATCAGATTCATTTTTATTCGATTACAAACATATCAGAATTTATATAGGGTTATATCTCAGGCTAAACTAATTTATATTTACATACATATGCACAGCGCCTGGCTAAATCAGTTTGTGACATAATGTATATCATATCATATGTATAACCCTAGATCTCTACCAGTTCCTCAATAGTTCTAGGAGATGGCAAGTTTCTATAAATCACAAGATGATTGACCAATCAAAAAAAAAGTCTAAAGCATTACTCTGAAAATTTTATTTATTAGCCAAAAGATGTTTTATTAAACGATCTGTATAAGCCTCTTTTATAGCATTGTTCATCATATCAAAAAACATTGATTCAAAATTATTTCTTTTTTTCTCTGCTCGATGACGTAGATTTTTGTTATAAGCTTTAAATGCATTTATAGCTCTGTCAGGAACATATGAACAGCAATGATCATTAAATTTTTTAATATTTTTTGATCTATAATATGCATTGCTTTGTTTATTAATCTGCCGAGCACATAAATCAGAGCATGCATGTACCAGATAACACCCATCACTAGTAAGTAATAAACAAGACATGGGATATGTATTGGAATAAGAGGTTAAGGCACATGTGCGTTCTTTAGTTTGGTATATCCCTCACTATCACAAGGGTAAATGAAATGTTTATCACAAACATAACAGATAGTATTTCCCTTTTCACTTTCTGAAATACTTAATGCAAACTGGTTGTGCACAATTCTTTTACAGCCCATTAATTTCTTGAATATGTTCTTATAAAGAAAATTCAATTTGCAAAATTTTTTATTTTTCTGATACATAGCATTCACACAAAGTAATACACTTTTGCGTGTATTATAGATTATATTATAAAATACATTTGCGAAACCCCTATGCATATACAAAGTTAAAATGATGTGATGTTATGCCTATTTTGAAAAATGTAAAGACTATCTCAAATAATTTTTTTTTATACATCAAACCATCAAAGAATAATTCACTATCGGCTATATATTGTGTGTGAATGAACTCGTTAATAATGTCATGATAAGCATGACTAAAAAAATGATGAGTGAGTCTGAAATTCTTGACTTTATTACGATTATGATTTCGGTTGAATCAGTTCGGAGTTCTATTAAAGTTTAGGGTTGGGCTATTCTCAGTAGCTACTTGTCTACACTTTCCACGCGTATTTGCAACATGTAATTCTTGGATGAGCTTTTCTGTTTTATTCAATTTCCTCTGCACGAAACCAGATGAATTGAGTATTTAACGATTATAATTATAGGACAAGAACAAGATATACATACCTCCAATTCTTTCAAAAGGCAAAAGGCGCCTTCAAATAAGGCACATTCATCTTTATTTTATGGAAGATGACAATTTTCTATCAATCCAAAGCGATACATTCCATTTTCAGTCCAATCCATCGCATATAAAGATAAATCAAATCCTATATTGAATGGGATATATTAGTCATATAGCAAAGTCCAGGCAAATGTCTACATAAAATATCTGCCCACCTACAAGTGTCCAACCATATACAATAATCTTTTTTCTCTGCTCATCATTTAAATATTTCCATTTTTTTAAAGTACTATTTAACGAGACTCGCATTAATACTGCAAGTTTGACTTTGTCCAAGTATTTCTTTTTTTGCGACGCAAGTGATGTTCCAAGTGAACTTAACCCATTTGCAACCTCTCCGTACAAGGCTTCGAATTTATTGGATGTCCTCGTCAGTGTGCCTTTAATATCAACCTTTCGCCCCATACGAGCTTTGACGAAAGGATTTGCATTCTCATTCCTCATGTCTTTCGAGCAAAGTGTCTGGGTCTCTCACCTATATGTACATAAACAAACTTCTTAGTACTATGTATTTTGCTGTAATCAACTCGCAATGACGTACCAAGTATCTTTTATTAACGAAAGGTCCATGAAAACATTGAATAAAGGATATATGATAACGAATTTATGTTCTTCTTCCGTCTTATCTCCCTTTTTAGACATGTTATAGAATCTGATAAAGGAAAATCTCATTAGATATCAGTGTAATTGCACAAATACTAGATACTGATAAGTAAAACCTTACATAAATTGTATATTAGTGTGTATTTTATCAACCATCGCATTATCTTTAAGTTCTGTGGGATCACATTTAGAATCAAAATATTGCTGAAGATAATCTGGAGTTCGTTGTGGAGACCAATGAACGTGATTGGCAAAATCTTGCGCGATTTTACTGATTTCGTTTGGGGAGAAATCCGTGCATCCATAGAGGCTCTGTTGCGTAAGATCAAAGATGCTCCAATAACCCAATCTATTAAATAGCAAGCAAAATTAAGAACAAGTAATTTATCAAGTTGAAATCACAATAACAAAGCTCACGTTATTATTCGACGCGTCTTAGGAATTTTTCCCTGATATTTATTGAATTTCTCGGAGATACTTTGTAAAAATTCCTGCTTTGAAGTCTATTAAGCATAGTTGAATCAGCATGCTGGGAATGTAATTATCAAGTCTTGACTTAACAAAAAAAACTTACATCATGGATCGTTTCTGAAATTGGCAACACTGCTTCTTCTCTCAACCCAGACTCATCTATGGAATCAATTAAAGTGTCCTCATTCGATTCATCAAAGAGAACAGATCCTTCCATAGCTTCCTCATCGTCACTATCGTCTGTTCTTCTCTTTTTCTGCTCACGGGAATTTTTTTTTTTGTTCGCCTGTCGATTGGAATTAACATCTGTGGCATTATCATAAGCCTTCTTATTCGTTTGTGCATGCAGCTGTTCCCCCTTGTCATCATTTAAAATTGGGATCCAACAAATTCTATTTTGGATTTCAAACTATGTACGTAAGTTTTCCATTCAATTAGTACCAGTAAATAGTAACAATCACAAACCTTGCTAAGACCTATACCCTGTTTTTCCTTCAATAGTGCTAGATATGTATCCTCAAGATCCTCCATTATATGCTGATTCTCCTCTTTCTAATTCATAATTTCATGAGCCTTCCGGAAGCAAGCCAAGCAAATAAATATTGGTACTGTACTTACATTCATAGTTTCCATAACACTTTTCGCATACGCTCGAACACAAAGAGGTGCATTTTTGATTTTATTGACGGTACTTAAAGACCCGTAAAATTGAGATACGCATTTGGACCAAATAGGAAGCTCAACATTATTATACAACCAATTAACGTAATGTTTGAAGGTGCAAAATCTTGCTTGAACGGCATTAAAGTACGGATGAACTGTCGAATTTTCTGTATCGTTTTCAACATAATATGACCAAGGATCAGTAAAACTATTAATTGGGGGTTTTGTAATCTCTGACTCATGATAAAATAGTTTATTATTTATAGCACGCCCATTTGTGCATGTGACTCACTATAAAATAAAAATGGAAAGCTATATGCGTGATCGATCATTCATCATTTAGGCACTTTAGGGTTATGATTTTCAGATGTAAGCGGGCGGTGAATCTTAAGGTGAAAAATGAGTACTTTGCGACTGCCACTTTGGCGGCGGGTACTCGAAAGGTGGAAAATGACAGAGTACTTTGCGACTGCCACTTTGGCGGCGATCTTGCTTGTCATAAATTGAAAAGGCCAGTGTGTTCATGACTGCCACTTAGGCGATGAGCAAACTGAGTTTACTATCCTCCAAAGAGCTTCACGACTGCCACTTTGGCGGTGACTCTTTGGCTTTTCCGTTATAACTGTTCATTTTACTATACAGATATATTTAAGTCCAATATTTTTTTGTTGAGAATTTTTCAAATAACATTTTTATTAATTTTTTAGATATAGTGCGGGACATATAATTAGTGGAAATATCTGATGCTATCAAAGAGGGAGGGAGTACGCGGATCCTAGGCCATTAAATGCGAGTCCCAGCATCAAATTATTTCTTTGAAATTTTTATAATATATTTTTCTATCATTATTACTAAATACGAGATTCTTATCCTCACACTCTACACCTATCTATATCACTAACACCCGCACAGACTATGTACAGGCGGCGATCAAAATTATCCGGCCAGTTTGTTTTGCTGAAATTATGCAGATCATTACGCGTTAATGTAATGTAAATAACACGTGATTTTATCTTTATAGTTCCGATAAACATATCCCTAACTTCATTTTTTTCTAAAACCTTCTAAAAAAATGAAGCCACTTACTCCAAAAACACGTGGTGCAATTGTGTATGGTTATAATTGCAGACACTCAAGTTGTACAATTGCTTGACGCTTGATTGGCCAGCCCAAAGTCCTGATTTTAATCCGATTGAGAACCTTTGGGCAGAGATGAAAATGATGGTTTGTTGACGTACTTCACCACCATCTAATATTAAAGTTCTAGGAAAGTATGTTAAAGATGCATGGAATGATATTCCTTCAGAAAATTAATTGATAGTATGCCTTGAAGGATTGAGGCGGTTATTTTCGCAAATGGAAATAGAATTCATTATTAAAATTTTTTATAAATTAATAAACTAAGTCATAAATAAAAGCATTTATCATAAAATTTAATTTTTATTACATTTAATATATGACATTTTTTTAATTTGAAAGTGGTCAGATAATTTTGATCGTTGCTTGTAAAAGATTAATCTACATACCAAGATTAAGAAATTTTGAACCTACAGCATAAGTTTGGGGATTAGCAACTGAGTTTGCAGTGAGTCTAAGATCTTTGGAAAAATTTTTCGTTAATATGACAAATACAAGTAACTCACTAAAAATGGAATATTAATTGGGATTACGTGTTTTTGGCTAATGCTAACGCTAATGAGTAATAAAATTACCGTATTCCTCTGAAAATAAGCAATCCCTAAAATAAGTAACCTCAAATTTACTTAATATCCAAAAATAAGCAACTTAATTAAATTTTATAAAATACCATATATAAAAAAAAATTTTTATTTTTAATGTTTTAATATACAAATCACGTTAAACATGATCGTTGATATCGTTTTTAATATCATCATCAATATTGTCGCCACCAGTGTTGGCATTGGACTCATTCCAATTGAATATTTGTTGGAATTGGACATTGTCCAATTGTTCAATTGATCAATTGGACTGACAATTGGACTTGGTCCAATTAAACGTCCAATTAAATTTAGCCGGGTCAATTATAACATCGATCATTTAATAAATTACTAAAATTCTAAAAATTTTAACGGTAATTCACTAAAATTCTAAAATGTAACGGTAGTACGATCACTAAAATTCTAAAATGTAACAGTATCGATAGTATGATCAAATTTTTTTTTTTGTTTTATCTTTTTCCAAACAAGTTTTTTTTTTATCAATTTTTACGATATTTTTTATTTTTTTTGACTATGGAAACCTATTTGTGTTGCTAAATATGTGGAATTCCTTTTCTGCTTAGACTTAAAGGTAAAATACTAATAAATAATTCCTTTACATTTTTTTTGTTGTTACATTTAATAATTATGAAACTAACTCTTTACAGTAATTAGTAAAATGTGGGAAAAACATAAGCTTAGTGGATATTTTTTGATTTTGAACGAAAAATCAAACCAGTGGAATAAGTTTGCTATTTGTATGGATTGTATTCGAGTATTGAGACTTGATGAAGCTCAGAAGCAAAAATTCACAAATACAAAACGTACATGTGCAAAGCATCTTGAAGTTTGTCCATATTTTGCTAAAAAGCATACTAAAGAGGAAATCACAAATATTCTTAATGAAGCATTGATTCATGGATCTAAAAAAAATAATAAGCGGCAATATGTAATAAATGAAACATCCGATGGTAAAAAGGAAGAATTTAACAAGTTCAGGACCTCAAATCTCAATAATTTTTTTTATAAATCTCCATCCATTACAAGAAGCCATACAAGTGAAACTTCTAACATATCATATCAAAGTTTTGGTCTGCTTGATAATTATATATATCGTGAATTAAAACTGAAATAGATTGATATGTTTGAGCATTTAATATTAAATGCAACAGTAACATGTGGTTTACCATTTAGTTGGGTTGAAAATTTAGCAACTAAGTCTTTATTTAAGTGGATTAATCCTATGCTTTCTTTACCAAGTCGAAGGCAATTAAGTGGTCGTATTCTTAAAAAAAGCACTAATAAAATAACGGAAAATATTCTTAAAGAAGCAATAAATGATAAATTGGATATAATGTTAGCATTTGACGGTTGGAAGAATGTTTCAAAACAAAATTTATTAGGCTCAGTATTATTTACATCATCGAATGATATGATTATTTTGAAGGTAGAAGATATAAGTAGCAAATGATATACATAGGAAATTGTTTATAATGAAACTATAAAAGCTTTTGAACAATTAGAATAACAAAACATAAAAGTAAATGGATTAATTACAAATTCAGCATCAGAGAATGCAGCAGCAAGGTACAGTAATTTAGTAATTTAAATTATTTTATTAAATTATAATTATAAT